CATCCAGCAAACATGTCTCTTTGTTGGAGAGCTGCTCTTGGGCTGCTGGAACACACTTTGCCTGCTTGAAAAGAGAGCCAAACATGCTTCGAAATTTACATCCCTCCGGCAGCAACCCTTAACCAAAGGTGAGGTGGGGTATAAATATTTCATTTCTCTTTGCCCTAATTGGGACAACTTTTAGGTTGGACCTACACTGTCTCCCAAATTCCCCACAGGACTGAGCCAAAGTTCCCCTTGCCTGAGTCCCCACAGGGCTGCGCCTGATGTCTCACCCTTGCCTTGCTTCCTTGCCTTCCGGTTGTCATTTCCCCATTGCCCTGTGGTTTTCCCTTGGGAACACTCCTAATCACTTTCACACTGATCTTTGTTTCAGAGTTTGCCTCTGAAGCTTGACACAATTCCAATAGCTTCAGCACAACATAAACAGAAAATTAGAAAGAAAGAGGGATGCTTCTAGAGGCAGACCCACTTACGACAATGAGAAGGGATAGCTGATAACCTTAATAGCAAGGGAGGAAACAGAAGAACTATAAAAAGCAAACATAAATAATGGAAAACCACATCAATCTGGGGCTTAAGTGTCCTTCATGTCTCAGCAGTCCTTGAGGTCATTACCATGTTCAGTGTAATAATCAGTGTTCACAGTGATGACCCTGAATTACCAAAGAAAGTTAAATTCTCTCTAGAAAAAAAAGCATCATAAATATGAGATATTGAATACTCATTTGACAGTTTTCTCACAACACGCCACTAAAATGAGAGTATAAAAGGGGTTCAGAGGTACCCTATAATCTCATGAAAGCAAAAATGGTGATAATAATGAAAATTTGGAAAGTGAAAAGCTAAGTACCTGTTGTGAGATTGGGAGTAGGGACTAGCAGTGCCTGAGAGGTGAGTTTATTTGTACTGCAGAACTACAGAAAAGCTCTCAGAACAGGAAGCACCAAGCATCTCTCAAGACCAGGTACAGATAGGAGCTAAATATGAGAGATTTGGCTGGAAATCAATTTAAGAAGCCTTTAGATTTGCTTTACTCTGACAGAAGACAGGTGGCATATTCTCCAGAGTCGCTGAATATCAGGGACTCTGGACTCTGGACACTGGATTCTGGGCCTCCATGAGAACAAAGGTGTATGTGTTTCAATGTTTTCAAGAGGATTAACTGTAAATCTACCTATTGATCACTGAGGCTTCCAGCTCTCTTACTTAAACAGCCAGACTTATTTCCCATCCCCACTCCCACCCAGTCCCAGCCCTCCAAGCAGGAGAACAGATTCCTCTTGTTGGAAACCTGCACAAGAGAAAAGAACTGTAGATACTGTTGTAGGAAAGATACGCGTAGCCCTAGCTCATCAACCAGACCTGTGCTCAGTCAGTGCAACCCACAACTGGACAAGCTCAGCCCATGCATATAGAGCAACAGTGTTTTATTTTGTTTTAGTACTTCACTGTCAGATGTGAATGGTCAGTCCAGAATCATCAGATACTTGAGGAAAACAGACCAATACAAACAGAAAAAAGCAAACTGGAAAAAACAAAAGAGGGAGAACAACACCTCAAAAAAAACCCCCAAAAAACCCCATATTCTCACAGATAAGAGATGTTGCTTCTATGAGGCAGTAACAGTGGACTATTAAAAAGGAAAATTCAGAGAGAAAAAAGCTTTGGGGAAATAAAAAAAGAAAGAAATTAAAAATCCAGCAGGATAACTGAACATAGATTTGGTGAAATTGTCCAGCATGTATAACAGATGAAATGTAGAGGAGAAGATCAATCCAGTTGGCTCCACAGTGAACAAATCAGACTTCTAAAAAGAATACATGGAAGGGCTGGCCGAGTGGCGCATTGGTTAAGAGTTGGCTTGGGACGCCAGCTCTGAGCACCAGGGCCCCGGTTCGGATCCCACATGAGGGCCAGTGACACTGCCCTCTACAGCTAAGATGGTGAACAACAGCTTGACCTGGAGCTGGGCTGCCGGGAGTCACCAGCCACGGTGTAGGCTGCAGTGAAGCTGCAGTGGCCTGCCATAAGCTATGGTGAGAGGCCAGCAGCCAGCGTGAGCTGCCAAGAGCCGCCGTGAGTGGCCATCCAGTGGCCGGCGACCCATCTGCCTCACCTGGGAAGAGCGCAATAATACCAACATGGCCAGTGAAGCGACATGCCCCACAACTAGACTGAAGAACAAAAGGACAGCAACTTGTCTGTTCCCCTTACCCAATTCCCCAACGCAGTTCCCCTCCCCCAATTCCCCAATAAAAAAATCTTTAAAAAAATAAAGGGGAAGATGTTATCTAAGATACAATACAAGGAAATTCCTCAGAATGGAAGGATGTGACTTTCCAGACCGAAAGAGCCCACTGAGTACCCAGTACAAGAAATGAAAATTTTCAGAATACTGAGTATATAGACAGAAGATCCTGAAAGCTTCTTAAGAGGCAAAACAGATAACATACAAAGACTGGAAAGTCAAATAGCATCAAACTTCTTGGCAACAGTAGAAGCTAGAAGACAATGGAACAATGCCTTTAACATTCTGAGAGAAAATGTCTAACCTAGAATTCTCTGTTTAGGCAAACTACCAATTAGAAATAAGATTTAAACCCAAAGATATTTTTACATTTGCAAGTCTCAAAAATTGACTAGCCAACCCACACCTATAAAATTGCTAAAATGAAAAGAAAAATGATAATAACAAAGCTTGATGAGGATTCAGAGCAGCTGATACTGTCATACACTGCTGGTAGAAATGTGAAATGATGCAACTTCTCTGAAAACAGTTTGATAGTTCCTTAAAATTTTAGGTACACATTTAACAAAGGACTAAACACTTTCACTCCTAGGTATTTACCCAAGAGAAATGAAAACATGTCCATGCACCTGTATGTGGCATTTATTCATAGTCACCCCAAACTGAAAGTAGCCCAAAATATCCCATCAACCAGTGAATGGATAAAGGAACTGTAGATAAAGAATTATACATACAGTAATATGGATCAATCTGAAACATATCCATGCTGAATGAAAATAGCCAGATATAAAAGGTATCTGGATAAATACGATGTGAGTGCATTTATGTGCCATTCTAGAACAGGCAAACCTGTAAGGGACAGAAATCAGATCAGTGGTTGTCTCTGAGCTGGAAGTGAGGGAGGGGATTGACTACAAAGGGGCACAAGGAAACTTTCTGGAGTGATGAAAATGTTCTATATCCTTATTGTGGTGGTTACATGACTGAATACTTTAGTCAAAACTCATTGAGTTGTACAGCTAAAAAGAGTGGATTTTTCTGCTTATAAATAAACCTCAAATGAACCTGATTTTAAAAACTCCAGCCCCTCTTTGTCAGAAAACAACTGGAGGATATACACCATCAAAACTAAGGAGTAAACTGAGAAAAAGAGGACGTGAAGATTCAGGAAACAGAGAATCCACTGGAGAAAAGAGGAATTCCCAAAATGAGGGTTCAGTTTTATTCCAACAAATATCCATGCAGGAGAGTGAGAAAATGGCAGCCATTCTGGAGTGGACAAGAGGGAGAAGGGCTCTGGGAGAGCTTCCCCTGAAGGAGAAGTTGAAATTGATAGAATAGTTTGGAGATGAATTGGTGATAGGCACACAAGAAACAGAGCAAACTAAAAAAAAAAAAAGGGAGTTATTTATTCCTGAGAATTATAAGAAGTTGTACAAGAAAGGGCTTTAATCACTGTTCTCTGACTCAGCTATGAATGATATTTACAAACTAAACAAAACTATGAAATAGTATTGAGAGCTTGGGAGAGAGAGAATGTATGTGTATGTGTGTGTGTGATATGTGACTAAAAAATATAATGTCAAATAAAACAGAAAAGTGAAAGCAATCACCTCAGGGGAGCAAGAATTTGGTTTAGGTTGGGGGTAGGGCAGAAAACTTATTTTCATCATAAACATTGTAAAACTATTCTAAATATAAAAATATATATAAACATATATACATACATATGTTGGGTTTTTTATATGTTTATTTTAAAAGTTTGAATTTTTATAAGTCATTTTAAAGAATCTTTTATCTGAAAATTTCTGTTATATGAAATAACCCTTTCCTTAGTAATGCCAGATAAATAAGTCAGCAATAGATTAAAAATACGTAAGAGGAGTCCCGCCCTGGACAAGAGTCATCTCTTTGCCCAGGTAATCCATGCTATATATGCTCCCTGCCCATTAGACGCTTAGTAGCATCTCCACAATCAGATCGGCTGTCACGGTATCACAGTGTTTGAGTTCAAGTAACCCTTATTTTACTTAATAATGCCCCATTCACCTCACTTCATCTCATCATGTAGGTATTTTATCATCTCTCGTCATCACAATAAGAAGGGTGAGTAAATACAATAAGACATTGCTTGAGAGAGAGAGAGAGAGCACATTCGCATAAATTTTATTATAGTATAGTTATAATTGTTCTATTTTATTATTAGTTATTGTTAGTCTCTTACTGAGCCTAATTTATAAGTCAGATTTTATCATGGGTATGTACATATAGGAAAAAACATAGCTTATATAGGGTTTGGTACTGACCATGGTTTCAGGCATCCACCGGGGTCCTTGGAATGTATACCCCATGGATAAGGGGGACTACTCTATACTAAAAACAGAGTTCAAGCCCTGCTTGTCTGGATTCTGAAATAAGCACATCATGCAAGAAGTGAGCCTTTTTTCCATTGTTTTTGTGGGCAGTCCTAGATCCAGGTCTACCATGCTATAGGAAGGGAGGAAAGGGTTGTTATTGCTCTACTGAGAACCATGACTGGGAATCACAGACAAGAGGTTCTGGTAAATAGGGTACTTTATGAAACAGTTGTTTCCCTTGGGTTCTCCAAATATCATCTCCTAAAAGAGGTAAAAGTTATAGAAAACAATTTTAAGGTCACTGTTAGAAGGGTATCTTAATTGAAAAGAGTGGCATCACTTATGTACATATACTTCTTGTCAGCCCAATATGTAATTTTTTTCTGTTCTAGTGTTCCTAGAATCCCATGGGCCTTTGCCATGACAGAAGTATGTGGCATGATTCTGTGCTATATTTGGCTCCTGGTTCTTCTTCTTCACAAGCACAGGTACCTTACTTATTCCATTAAAAGACTGAAAGTGTTTTGACTGTCTTGTGTTAAAGGTCATCAAACCTGTTTCTCCCTTTGCAGTTTCCCTGTTAATTTCCTTCTCTAGTCATTATGACATTGTAGTTATTGACAAAGGAAAGTGAGGTTTGGTCAACAGAAGAGTCAGCCTGAGGTGATAGCTACATATTTAGTGATATTCTGAATGTATCTTAAGGGAAAGATCACAGATGCTGATGTTCGGTCATGGGCTAACCATTGGCATTCTAGCCTTATCTTTCTTAAGAAACAAAAACACGTCATGTTATGTAGAAGGATAGAAACTACTCCAAGGACAGTCTTTGGTCACACATTTGGATGGGAGAAATTGTTCTCTGCTTGGAGGAGGCCCATTGAAAAAGGGATCATTTTGCACACCATGCATGCCTTAGTCAGTGTGGTTTACTTCAGATGGTATAGGAAATTGCTGAACGTGCTTCTTTGGCACTTTCACCAAGAAATATAAAGGGAAATTTTTTTCTCATTTAAAAAAAAGCAGAGAAGCATAAAAGGAGACTCTTTTATTACTTTAATGAGGGGAATTCACTTGATTTAAGTAAAAAATAAGGCACACTGAAGAAAAACTTAAAGAACTAGAAAGTGTGTGCATCCGCTATTCTTTGTCTTTAGACTCTGAAGAGGAACAGGGCCACTTTTTAAATTTTTTGATCATTTCTCCTCACCAGGCAGTACTTGAGGTAGACCACAGTGATGGGCATTAGGTCCTGAGCAGCAGTTATTTCAGTGCTTTGAAGGTGAAGAGAAAGGTTGACGTTTGCTATTCCTGTCACACTTTTAGGCCATATTGCACTTCATTATCCCTGTTTGCAGCAATACTTTTAACTGGGTTGCTTAAAACCAGACATAGTTTTAAAAAACACTTGTATCATTGCTGCTTTCTGGTTTAACTTTGTCTTACAAAAGGCTGTAGATTTGAATGTATCCACTCTTCAAAACACGAGTGTATAGGAAACTGTGATAGGTTTAGCAAATCATAGCAGTGGCCAGTTAAATGTACATTTTGATGTTTAAATTAGTGAAAGAAAGTGTCAAAATGTTGTCTTTGTGCCACTTTCATTAGAATCACCTGGGCTCTTGTTGAAGTGCAGAATTCTAGGCTCCATCCCAGGTGTACATACTGAAGTTTGAAATATACCTAACGTTGTGTCCAGTGTTTTTTTGAAACATTTTGAAAATGTTTTTTTCATTTTGAAAATGTGTAAAGCATAGTCCCAGTACTTGAGAATCTTATAGTCTGTTTTGCTTTAAGACATTTAAAAAAATAATATAACAGTACAATTGATGTCACAATGCAGTTCAAACTTTTTGTTAGAGATATACTTAATGTAAAACTTAGTATTAAAAAAAACTTTTATAGCTTAAGTTGAAGTTAGGAGAAGTTAGAGAACGTTTATTAGATAGCTGCTATCATTAAGAAATTTACAATGTTATTAGTAAGCAAAAAATTCCCTAGAATCACATGTTTAACTTTATACCTCTCATTAAGTAAATTTATGAGCAATATATGAGTAATAGGACTAGCACTAAGTTGAGTCAGGTTGGCACGAGTCTTCTCTTTTACATAACTTTTTTGCTTTCTCTCAGCCATATTTTCTTATCATGTTCTATGATGCTCTTAGGTCTGCACTGTCCAACATGGCAGGTGCTAGCCACATGTGGCTATTTAAATTTAAATTAGTGAAAATGAAATTAAAATACAGTTCCTTAGTCGTACTAGTCACATTTCAAGTGCTCAAGAGCCACATTTAGATGGCCTGTTGGACAGTTCAGTTATAGAACGTTTTCATCATTGCAGAAAGCTCTACTGGACATTGATGCTTTAGATTGTCTTTAAGATTTCTGTCCTTTTCAAAGAGTTGACTCGTTCTCCTGCTTGCTTTCCCTTTAAGTAAACATTGGATGCCTGGGGTATTGGTTGTTTTCTTCTGATCACCTCCCCTTTTGGTCGCTCTGTTCACAGGTCCATTCTTCTGCGAAGGCTCTGTAGTCTGATGGGCACTGTGTTCTTGCTTCGCTGCTTTACCATGTTTGTGACCTCACTCTCCGTGCCAGGACAGCACCTGCAGTGTACTGGAAAGGTAGCCTGCTGCCTTCTTTATCAGTCTTTCCTCTATTCTTGGTGGGTTCACGGCACCATATATACAGTAGGGCCAAGACTTTGCTTTTAATATTAAAATGTGCTTTTTGGTATTTTCAAAAAGAAAATACCAAATGAACCTCTAGAAATAATCTGGTAAAAATTTAAAGCCAGAATCTACCTCCCTGTTACTTCTATCTATTCTATTGATACTAGCTCTATACTGTGGAGCTATAGAAAAAAAAATTCCTTTCAATTATCATTGCCCCTTTCCCACCATCCTCAGTGTTTTCAGTTCCTCATATCACAGGACTCTGGTCCCTTCACTATCCTTATCACTTCTTTTTTAAGTGTTGCAGTTTGACCATATTCCATTTAAAATATAGTGCCCACTACTCCAAACTTTACTCTTTCTAGGATATACTAAATAATGGCTGATTTTTTTGTTTTTGTTTTATATTTTGTAGCTTGTTTTGTTATACTGTAGGCATATCTTCTCTCCTGGTTAAATTGAGAGAAGAGAGATTATACAGATGGGAACCAAAAAAAATTAAAAAATTGGTAATGAATTATTGTAAAAAATAAAAAAACCCTGAATATCACTTACATTTTTTATACAAAATTGACTATTGTGACTTTGGAGAGAAGAATTTATTATCTGACTTTTCTAAGCCTTCATGCTTTAGTTATGTGTTTGCAAATATTCAAATATGTATATTAACACCTTTGTTATTTTAATGTTGTTTATAAAGTGTAAAACAAAATTATCAGTTCTTCTACTGCAATATAAATAGCTGAAATGCCAGCAAGGGAAGATTAAGCAGCCAAAGGAGATCAAGAGCTAAAAATATATCCCTGAGCTGAAGGGTGACAAAATTTCTCCAGGTATTAGGAGACTGACCCATAAGAAAGAGAGAAGAGTTATATGACATTTAGGATTTAGTGTAAAGGAAATGTTCTATTTTTAAGGTAAAGGCTGTTTTATTTTTTCAAAAAGGGAAAGTGAATTTTTCTAGTTATAAAGTTATGTGTTTATTAGAAAAATTCAAATTTTATGGAAATATATAAATTAAAAAGTAAATGCTCCCATAATGCCCTCTTTTTTCACCCTACCCCATAAATTAAACTATTCACAGTTGTGCAAGTATATATAGTCACACAGACTATTTTTAAACATGCTTACACATTCAGATAAGTTTATATAGATAGATACTTTTTAAACAAAAGTTGTGATTATATTGCAGACAGTTCTTTTTTAGCTTATGTTTTATTTAATAGTATGTTGTTACTTTTTTCTGAAGAAACGTATAGCTATACTACATCTTTTTAATAGCTGCAGAGTATTCCATTGTATGATTTACCAGTCTCCAAGTGACATATACATTTAGGTTGTTTCCAAATCTTATTGTTTATAAACAGTGCTGTTATAAACATTCATGTACACTTAATTCTTTTTCACTACTTAATCGTCTCCTTAAGATAAATTCCTGGGAGTGGAATTATGAAATCATTTACACATTAAAAACTGTGATATGTATTGTTCAAATGTCTGCTAGAAAAGACTAGTTTTCACTACCACCAATGTCTGCATGCCGGTTCCCACCCCTGTGCCCGCACTACTTATCAACCTTTTCAGTCACTGCCTTTCTGATTCATGAAAGATGATATCTGAGACTTTTATTGTCTTATGTTTTATGTTTAAATCTTTAATCTATTGAGTTTATTTCTGTACATGGCGTGAACTAGCAATAGAACAGTTTCCCCAAGTAGCATGCTAATTGATTAGAAGAAATTTAAAAGAAGAAAACTGTAAGCTTATTACATTGAAAAGAGAATTTCCTATAGCGTAAGTATTTAATTGTGGGTCAGCCACTAAAGAGAAGGACATTTGAACATAGGGCTACAACATGTGCTATGGAAACAAATTAGATGCCATCCCTCTACAGCATGGACAGCCCTTTTTCTGTCTCTAATGACTGTTTACCAGTTAGTTATTTATGGACATTTCTATTCATATCTGTGCTAAATGATGTTAATTGCTTTAAATTATAAAATAACCTACTTATTGACCTATATTATTTGCAGCAGTTAAAAATAGAAAGGTAATATATGGTGATGGAAGGAGAATTGACTGGGTGGTGAACACAGTGCACTATATAGATGATGTATTATAGAATTGTACACTTGAAACCTATGCAATTTTACTAACCAATGTCACCCCAATAAATTTAATAAAAAATAAGTAGAAAGTTAAGGTGATAGTAACTAGCAATCAAATCCCTTACAGTGAACTTCCACAGGGCATTTTCATTGTCATTAATTGCTTGAAATCACATTCCTAGAAGTAGGAGGTTTGGGGACAGAGCCAAAAACATGCCTGCTCTTGAAATTAAGCAATGGCCTCACCTTAAGAAAAGAAACACTTAAAGCAAATTTCCATACGTTTTCTCATGAAAGCGTTTTATTCATTCTGTTGTGTTGTGTTACAACTTTTATTTTTCTGGAAGAATATTTGGGATATTTAAGAGTGGAAAGGATAAGGGAGACTTGAGTAATTGAGCAGTAATTGCTTTCTTTTGACTGGTGTCACTTGTATCTTGTCCTTGGCTGAGATTTTTTTCCTAGCCATCTCTGTTCCTCAGTGCCTGGTTTTTTTACTTTCACGAGAGTAATATCTCTAACCCTATTCTCATTCGAGGTCATGGGAGAACCAAATCATGTTTATTTTAGCACCTTCTCTTTCCTTTTCTCTAATAATAAATTCCTCTTCTGCTCCTGCCCTCAACTAAGGCAGAAAGGGAAAGATGGGTTGTGTATAATCAGCAGGTGAGCTTTCTAATGAAATTGTGATATCTACTGAGAATGTTCTGTTACCAAACAAGGGGGTCCACGCACAGCAGAGCTGAAACACAGAACATCAAGTTTTGCAGTGGAGAAGTTATAGCCATTTATTGCCATGGCATTAAGCCAGGAAAACGAGAAGCTAATATTTTAAACCGGAACTCCCCAATGGCTTTTGATCAAAGGTTTTTAAAGGTAGAGATTGAAGGTTAGAGGTAGTGGCCAAGGTTGAAGCTGATTGGTTAGTTCTTGCGCAAGCTTCAGTGGTTTTCCCTTCCTAATTCAGTTCCTGAGGTCATCTGGTTTCATGCCTTCATCACTGTGGTCAAACGATCTAACTGATTGAGGAGCCAAGGTTCTGCAAAATATCTCATATTTGTGCGTCAGTGATATTGTCTTTAAAGCAAACAGCAGAAACTGAACATTTGGTGACCTTTGTTATTGTTTAAGCTATCATTGTTTTGTGCTAAACTAGGTGCATTTTTTTATTATCTCAAGTAAAGTGTACTTTTAAACATTTTTTTCTGGAATTTGCTTTATAGGCAGGGCTTTAGGACATGACTAACATGCTTTATAATCTTGAACTATAAGCTACGTGACAACCAAAGCAATGGAAACATTTAGTTAAAGCCTATATCTGTATCTCTAGATTCTATGATCTAATACCTAAACATATTTACTGTGAAGTGCCCGTTTGAGTTTCTTCTGTTCATTAGTCACAGTAGAATATTTAAGACACAGGGCTTTGGAATTGGACTCCCTGGGTTCATATTGTGGTTATGTTACTTACCAGCTGTGTGACCTCTAAGCCAGTTTTCTCATCTGCACAATTGAATTACTTCATGGGATTGTTGTGAAAATTTAATGTAATAACCCGTAAAGCACTTAGCAGTATGCCTTGCACATAGTAAAATGCACATCAAATTTTAGCAATTTTTTATATTGTTACTATGTGTTAAATGCTGCACACGTGTGTGTGTGTGTGTTTGTGTGTGTATGTGTATGTGTATGTGTGAGAGAGATAGAGACCATTGCTCAAACTCTTCCTCAAAATCGATTGCTTTTTTAAATGTATGTGTGGGAGTTGGGATTCAAGATTGCTATGGTTTAATAAACAAACAATGGTTTATTCTCCCTCATAAAAGAAGTCTGAAAGGAGGTATTCCAGGTCAGGTATGGTAATTTTATGGAGGCGTGATTCTTCTGTCTTCCTGCTCTCCTATTCTAACACTTGGCTTGCATCCTCAAGGCCATTTTGTGGTCCAAGAAGGCTGCTGGAACGTCAGCTATCATGTTTGAGTTGTAGGCTGGAAGAAGGAAAGGTAGAAAAGACTTGCTGCGAGCTGTTGTGTCTTTCCTTTATAAATAGCGTTCCCAGAATTCTTTTACACTTCCACTAAGATCTTACTGTAAAAAATTTAGTCACATAGCCACCCCTAATGCAAGGGAGGCTGGGAAATGGCGGTGCTTTGGTTGAATTCATTGCCACTTCAAATAAATTTGAGATTCTGTTACCAGCCAGAGAAGAAGGGGAGAATGGATATTGAATGGTAGCCATTGTCTCTGTCATAGCCTAGTTCTTATTGGCAAAAACAGCCAAGCAAATACTACTCTATTGTTGGATTAATAACTTGGAAATAAATTTGTGTCATTAGTGACCTTTTCGTTGTAAAGAAACTCCTAGTAGAGAAGTTTGAATTAATATTGATTTCATTTAATTACCAAAATATTTATGAATCCAGCCAAACTTGAACCACCCATTCTTGATATCTGGAATGTGTTAGACCCGGGGTCTGGTTTGCTGTTGCTTAGATCTTATTTCTAAGTCATTCAGCATCTGAATTTCAGCGGGAGTAGCTGTTTTGAAGCTCCCCCTCCCCAAGCACTTGAGGCACTGATTCACAGCTTTCTTTTTAGATCTATGGCAGCGTGTGGGAGAAATTACACCGGGCCTTTGCCATCTGGAGTGGCTTCGGGATGACCCTGACCGGCGTGCACACTTGTGGAGATTACATGTTCAGTGGCCACACAGTCGTCCTGACGATGCTGAATTTCTTTGTTACGGAATGTAAGTATCTCTTTAGTGCTTCTTTGTATATTAGATGACTATCTGCAGAGATAGCTTTGGGTAGAGTATGAAGTTCTCTGAAGAGTGGGAGAAACAGACTGACCTAAGAAGCATGGGGCTTGAGAAGCACTGGAAGGAATGTGGTTTTAAAATGATCTTTCTGTCCTTTTCCCAGATACACCAAGAAGCTGGAATTTCTTGCACACTTTATCCTGGGTTCTCAACCTCTTTGGAATCTTCTTCATTTTGGCTGCCCATGAACATTATTCCATTGATGTGTTCATTGCCTTTTATATCACAACAAGACTCTTTTTGTACTACCATACACTAGCTAATACCAGAGCCTATCAGCAGAGTAGGAGAGCAAGAATTTGGTTTCCCATGTTTTCTTTTTTTGAATGCAATGTTAATGGTACAGTACCTAATGAATATTGTTGGCCCTTTTCAAAACCAGCAATAATGAAAAGACTAATTGGATGAAGACTATCTTTGTTATGGGTTCGTGATTAAATATACAAAGGCTGTTGAAAGTGAATTACTTTGCTTCTTCCCCTGGTTGTTCCTGGATGCCTTGCTTTTTGGCTTATATGTTAACAAAGTAAAGTTCCCTGTTCTGAGCAAGGCTGTGATTATAGAAAGCAAGAAAGAACAATCAAGAGTCCTTATGTATCTGTTTGAACAGAAAGCTTAAGTAGATGTTTTCTGCCCCTTCTCTTTAGGCAGAGGTAATGTGATTGAAGTCAGGCTGTTAATCTTACCTGTTGAGTATTTGCTTATTGAACTTAAGCAGATCAACTTGTGCAATTTGCTGGTTGAAAGCTTTTTTTTTTTTTTTTTAATTTTTTTTTATTTCCAGTAGGACTCCAGTCAAGAAATAATATGTTTTGAAGCTCATTATCTTCAAAAGAAAAACCCCTACCTAGTGAACAGTACTTGTTCTTTGAACTAATCTCTGTGTCTTTTTAAAAATGCAACTCTGGAAAGGGATCCGTTTTACTAACAAATAATTTTTATCTTCTGAACCATCTTTAAGAAAAGTGTATTGAACATACCAGGATGTTTGAAATAAGAAGAGAAAGGGGGCATATATGAGGTGACGAAGTACAAATACAGTACTTGCATTTTTCACCAAAGATGCAACAAAAGATGCAGCTCCTATTTTGTTCTGAGGGTTCAGTATTCATGAGGGGAACATTGCTGCATCCATAAAAATAAAATTGGCTGACTTTTAGTGATGTAGGTACCTGGAATAAGTTTGTGCTATAGCTGTTAGTTAGAAGACAGCCCAATTTTATGCTTTTTAATGATGTTGTTTAATGAGCAAAACAGTGGAGTGTTTTACCAGATGTTAGATAAACTTTTTATGTCCTTAAATAGGGAGATATGCATGCAAAAGATATTTTTTCTCTTTCTGAAAGAAATTTATAGCAAGTTGCAGGCATAATACAACTTTTTGGTTTTTGAAATTTCTCATTCTTGGTCATCAGAAGTAAGCAGTCACAGATGTATTTGGATCTGAAAAAGTTTTGTTTTTTTATTTTTAAATACAATTGTGTACATACATTCTTTCTATTTAGTCTTAATTTGCCAGTCAGGAAGTGATATAACTTAGTTGCTGTTTACAACACTAGAAATTTAGTACCTTATGTAAAATAATTTGATCTGTGTGATAACATTTGTCACTTTACTTTTAATGCTTTTATATAGTAGTTGTGATAGTAGGTAGGATGGGTATAGAATTGGAATTTTAACCCCAACTGATGAGCTTAGCCACTTGGAATATTAATTGTGTAGTTTTTACATTCCATTTTAAAACAAGGTGTTAGAAAAGGTGCTGGCATATCGAGGTCTAAAATTAGGCCACTTAGCCAGAGCCTGCTCCTCATATGGGTGAAATATTTTATTTTTGCACTTTGAGTCATATTCCTACCACTGTATAAGCTATGGAGGAGCCTTGAATGGATTGGGTGGGAAAGGAATATTATGCGAACAAGTTTTAACCAATGCTAAATGACCCCAGTTTGGGTCTGCTCTGAACATTATTTTTTATTTCTCACTTGAGAAATGGCACAAAGCAATTCAAGTTTTATTATGCTTTTAAAACTCATACTTCAGAATCTTATAATAGCTTAAATTGTTGATTCTATTACATGCAGGGGACAAAAATGCCAACATTTCATCTAAGGAAATTGCATAATTATGAAGGGTGGTGCTTCCTATGCCAGTTAGAGTATTTTGACTCTTGAGGTCAAAAGATGTGTTACTGCCATTTTTTTTCCAAATGACAGAACAGGACCGAATTTCTCTAGGGAGGGACTAATGTTCAAGCTTTTAGAAAAGTGAAAAAAACCTGTGGCAGAATTAATTCAAGAATGTTAAGTAGTTATTTAGTGGTAAAATTTTCTAACATCAGTCTTCTTTCCTTCATATGGATTCTATTCTAGAACAAAATAGAAAAAAATAAATTACAACTAATTTGCAGAGCTATTAACATTGAGAGTGTCTAACAGCAGACTACTATGAAGATTGTAAAATAACTTTTCAGCCTTGGATTTGTCATATCTGTTTTGAGGAAAAGGTAAACTAGACTTATAATTTATTGTTATAACTATTACAAGGCAAGTGTTTACATAAATCAGTCATCTCCAAGTCTCTTTCTTGGAAATTGAGACAAAGTTCTTTTCCGTTTTTTTGTTGTTTTTTTAATATGAAACCTATATTAGTTGTTTTTTGTTTTGTCCAGAAATTTCTAGATTTTTGTCTTTGTATTTTTTTTCTTGTTAAAATCTAAACCATAGTGAAGGTAGTATTGAAATTTATATTTTGAGAGTGAATGTGGCTAGGTAGAGAAGCTACATGCCTTAGATCTCCATAGTTTTTGACCTTGTATTAAGTTCTACAGTTGCAGACTTGTGAGAAGCTTACATCATTAAACACTAAGACTTCAGTATAGGAGGAATGAAGAAGGTTTTTGGTTTGGGGATGCAAACTGGAGGTTAGTTATGTTGAAAGTTCTTTGATGCATTTTCTATGTTCCTGGGGACAGTGTAGACTTTTTTCTTCCTTTCCTCCCTCTTCCCCCCACCCCTTCCTTCCTTCCTTCCTTCCTTCCTTCCTTCCTTCCTTCCTTCCTTCCTTCCTTCCTTCCTTTTCTTTTCTTTTACAGTCCATGCAGGGCAGTGTTACTAAAGGGTAATTGAAGTTAATAGGGAGTAGAATGTTTTGAAGAAGGCAAGTTTGCTGTTCTCTTGAAATAATTTGGGAGGGACCTTTTTTGGATGTGCTGCAGAATTCTCAACATGCCTGTCCTCTCCGTAGTTCTTTGTGGCCAGAATTGCTAGGGTAAAAGTACAATACAACTTCCATATGCTGAGTCTGTTTATTTGTATCCCTTTAAATCAGAAAGCAATGAGCTTAGCCTTAGAATCAGTCTGTTAATAAGTGTGGACTGTTCACCAGAAAAAACCCCGCTGCGAGTGGTGCTCTTCTCTGCCCTGTGCCTGCCTGATGGTCGTTACTTACAATTCCAAAATTCCTACACTTTGTCGGTGAGAACAGAGGAGCCACATGTTTTTATAGATGATATGCAACAGTCTGTTTTAGGGGCATCTGTTTGGAAAGTGTTATTTATATATTCACAGTCATATTCATAATACCAACCTTCTTTGACTGTACTCAGCAAAAGGCAATTTCATCATTAGTTTCATAGTACTTTTTAAGGATTCTAATTCCAAAATGCTCGAGAACATTAACTTTATTCTTGTTTTAAAACCCTCTAATCTAATTTCTTTGATAGTCTTTTTGTAGACTTAAGTTATCTCTTACTAAAAAAGTAATTATAGTAATAGTCATTTTCAGTTCTTGAAGGTAGTCAGGCATTTGAGACAAGAAAGCTCTCTTTTAGAATAGTCTAGTAGCTTTCTGAAACAGTATTGGTTTCATCTGGATAGTTGCAAAGCCAACAAAGCATGTCAGTTTTAATGCCAGTTTCACTTGGCATTTAAGACAGTTTGCATTTGTAAAGTTACACCGGAATTACCCCTATCCCACTGTAGAGGAGAATTGTTAGTAACATCAAAAGTCAGGCTGCTTCAGGTGACCAATGAGAAAGGAAAGAGGTTGAGGTTCTTTTTCCATCTCTGTCTTTATGTGGCTTTGAATGACTGAAACTACTATGGAAATAGGTTTTGGCTCCCCTCTGGCCTACCCCTCATCCCCAGTGAAATCCACCATTTTCAAGTAACTAAAATGTGGCCTATTACTTTGCATCAAGTTGAATAAAAATATCTATGAAATCCATAAGCCATAATTCAGCTACCAATAAAGTTGGTTTTTAGCATATGTTCTACCCTAAATTAACCAAAGGACTTTCTATTCGGTGTATTCCATGTTTAAGCATAAAGAAATTTTGTGCCTGATATGGAGAGAGAAGGAATACTATGTTAATTTCATTGTTATTTCAGGTCTGTTTTAACCTGAACTTCTGGGTTGTCTGAACATAACAAAGCAATGTTATTAGTAATGGTATCTTAAAAATGCTTAATTTTAATAATTTTTTTATTCAGAGAATCTATGGATTGTTAGTACAATTGAAGTATTTCTGATATGGAACAAAGGAAATGGAAACTGGTACATAATGGGGGAAGCAAAATTAGCTTGGATTAAAGTGGGCATGTTTTGTTTCAAGAATTCTACCTAAATGTCACCCTATCCACAGAGAAACTCGTATTACTTGAAGATGTGAAAGTCCCTGTGGTAGCCATACCTTGAAGCACAGTATTGTATATAAGTAAATACCTTGATTCTAAATTAAATCCAGATTTAACTAATATATATTATTTTATATCTTTGTTGTATTAAAATGTTTTAAAACACTAAAAATAAAACATTTGAAAGTTGAATTACAGTCTCTTATTTAACTGTCTTTGCATTATTGATGCAGCTGGCCTATTTTTTTTTTTTTTTTTAGCTGAGCCATCCTGCCACCTGTTGGCAGCTCAGCGGCAGCTCAGCTCGGGCCGGGACTCGAACCGCTGTTGCTCAGAGCTCAAACTCTTGAGCGAGCTCTTAACCAACTGAGCCACTCGGCCGGCCCTGGCCTATTTTTTTATACAGTGAATTTTTATTTTTGCAAATGATTGGGCCCTGCAACTCTAAATTCTAATGTAGTATCTAGTCCCTGGCATTTTCTAATTCTTAGTTGTCCGTTAGATAAGCCATTTTCCCTTTCCGCTTTCTTTTCTGTAAACTAGGAAAGAAAAGTGATCTTTCTGAGGGTATTAGAATAATTGTAGATTAAGTTGAGAAAGAGGGAAGGGAAGCAAATGACTACTTATTCCTGGATATATTAAAGTTTTTGTTTGTTTTTTATTTTAACTGTAGACTATATAAGAAGATAGCATCATCCTGTTAGGTTAGCTTTGGAGATAATGATGAACAGGAAAAGAAGGGAAGCAGTTGTTAGGATAGCCCAGTAGCTCAGAATCACAGAGTAGTTGGAACATTAAGTATTGTCACAGGTGCAGGACCAGATGAGCTTAATTCATGATTGAACTTGTCTTCACAATTACTGCTAACTATAGCCTCTCTGGTGCTGGTCCCCGCTGGCTTTTCTCTCCGGAACTCTGGAAAAGAGTTCCAGAACAGACCTAGAGGTTGCTTGGTGGAATAGAAAATGCATTGGATTTAGACTCTAAGGACCTGGGTATGAGTTACATCTCTGCCACTAAGTAAATTGGGCCTTTCCTTCCAGCCCCACTTAACCTTATGTGTAAAATGGGGGGGTGGGGGCAGGAGGCGGTAGGGGAATGCCTACCTCATAGGTTGTATTAAAGGCCAGATTATGAAAGTACCGTGCTGGCCTAGTACCTGGTACATATTGCTGAAGAGTAGTTGAATTTAGGTCATTAAAATAGGGCTTCTGCTCCCAGGGATTTAATAATCTTGCTGGCAAGATGACATAAAAAGGTAGCTAACAGCGTTCATTGGTGGAATAGACCAGTACTTTTAAAACTGCTTGGCTGAAGATATTCAGGGGTGGGGGAAGGGAGCTGGAGCTTGTACCATTTGCTTCCAGAGTTGGTGTTTTGTATATTTGACTTTCCTAGTAGGCTTTCCCTTTGAAAAAAAAAGGGTTGAGGATAGGGGAAAGAAGGTTTGGAAAAGACTGAAGCAATAGACAAATTTATTGTCTTCACTTAATGGTAATGGTTGCTTGAGAGGAAGGGCTCACTGGGGACTGAGGGTCCAAGAATTCACTAAGCATGTGAAACTTGAACTGAGCCCTCCCTGAAGGATGATTCCTAAGGACATGATGAAAAGCTTAATGAGCTCTAATTATCATGCAAAAAAGCTTGGATTTATTTGTGTATGTATTAGGGAGCCGGTGGACAGGGTATGTATTTGATTTTGTTATAAATGGAAGCATTGGAAATGCCTGTTGCCAAGGTCTAAATTGTGGGGACAAGTACAATTAGTTCTATAAAACAGGATTTGGTAAAGGGCAGAGTGTAAGTCAAAAAGAGAGGTAAGATGGTGAAAGGTACACAAGAAATCACCGGAGATGAAGGGAAGGATAGAGACCCCAAGATAGTAACTGGTCAAGGAATCAGGTCTGGGCACAGCTTGTAGGAGGTCGTTGCCCCCAGTCAAGGAAGACCAAGACACCAAAAATGAACGGCCAACTTCTACTGGCTGGTGTAATATGAATCTAGGCTATAGAACATACGTTGAGTCCAGAACTGTCTCTTGTGGTGGCGCACCTCATCCACCTGTTGGAGTGCTAGGTTGCCAGGGATTAAGTGGAGTGGGAGCCGGCTTTGGCGGAAACTTGAGGAGGGTGCTGGGGTGAGGGAATGCTTCAGAGGAGCTCAGTTATCACCCTCAGCGCTAACTTTGAAGACCAGCTCTGAGGCCTCTGCTAGAAGAGCAAGATATTTAAGTGCTGTATGTTAGCTCTCAGGGCTCTCTGTGAGAGCAGAAATACAAAACCACCATGACCTGTCCATATTCCAGCCCTAAGAGCCCTGGGTCCCACTCTAAAGAGAATACCTGTACCTAATGGCTTTTTTGATACAGAATAATCAGCAGCCTTCATCGGTAAGACGTCAAAGCACACGAAATTTGATCCTGTTTTTCCACAAAGACTGATTTTGGAGGCTTAGCTGGAGAGCATTTTGGCAGTCGTGATGCAATTTGAGGGACTTCAACATGGTTGAAATCTCACATGCAGAAATTTGAGAAGCCTAACTGCCCAGGCTAGATGCTGAATTTTCTTCACTAGTGATTCCACAGTGGTGCCTGTGATTCTCACTATCTTTAAAAAAAAAAA